CTGTCTCCCCCCGCCCTCCCTCGCACTGTGTACTGCAGGGCACGCTGCAGGACCACGTTGTACTGCAGGAGCGGCTGCGCCGCGTGCTGGGCGACCTCACCTTTGCAGAGGGGTACCAGCGCAGCGGTACGCTGGCTGGACCGCGGTACAGCCGGGGCCCCGCGCAGCTCCAACCGCCTGGCACAGCTGGCCTTGCGCGGGGTGCTGGGTGCGGTACCTGGCGCACCTGCAGCCGCCCACCCCGCCATGTACCGCATGCATGCGTGTGTTGTACTGCCTGGCGCAGGCCGCATCCTCAACGTCTCCGTGTCTGCCGCCGACACGAGCGAGCCTCCCCGCCTCCTCAACTACCTCACAGGTGCGCCCCCTAGCCCTGTGCGCGCGTCTGTGCGCGCTGGCCCGCCACGCCGCAGACAGCTGCGTGTTGCTCTGGCTGGGGAAGGGTGCCCCGGCGAGCCTGGCGCTGCCTCACCTCCTTGCACCTCCTTGCACCATGTGCGCGCTGCCGTGCCGCTGGTCGAGCGCTGACCGAGCCTGGCCCTCCCTGCCCTCCCTCCCTGCCTCCCACTCTCCCCTGCAGCCCCCAACGTCCTCATCTGGTCTGCAGTAGCCTGCTCCTCAGCCTTCCCCTTCCTGTACGCCCCCCAGCAGGTGCGCGCCCTTCCCGCGTGCAGCTGCTGGGCAGCAGGAGCCCCCGCCAGCTGCCCCTAATGGCCCCCGCCTGTGCCCCTGGTATGTGCAGCTGCTGGCACGCGACAGCCACGGCGCGGTGGTCGACTTCAACGCCCAGGAGGCGGGCGAGATGCAGCGGCGGTGGCGGGACGGCAGCCTGGAGGAAGACCTGCCCATGCGGGGGCTGTCGGAGATGTTCAACGTGAGCGCAGCCGGGCAGCCAGCACCTTAGTGGAGGCATGCGCGCTCTGCCTGGGCTGGCCTGCGTGCGGGGCGGGGCTGGTGGCGGCGCCAGGGGACACGTCCCCGGCGCACGGTGGAGCAGCGGTGCGAGCGCGCGGACGGTGGAGCACCATGCTGTGCAGGCAGGCAGCCGGGCCGGCGCCGCATCGCCGCGCTCTCGTGATCGGTCGCCGGCTGTGCCTCCCCGCCTGCCACCTGCGCCTGCCTGCCCGCCCGCAGGTCAACTACTTTGTTGTGTCGCAGGCAAACCCTTACGTCCTGCCCCTCATAGGTGGACCAGCCCGCCACTCCTGCGCCCGACTGCCATGCATGCCTGCGTGCCTGCTTGCCTGCCCACCTCTCCCGCACGCCGGCTGCGCCCGCCTGGCCTGCTCGGGAATCGCCGACCTGCCCCTGCCTGCCCCTGCCTTCCTGCTTGCTTCGGCCGCTTGCCATCCAGTTTCAACCTGGCTGCCTGCCTGCCTGCCTGCCTGCCTGTGTGCCTGCCCGCCTCCCCGCCCGCCCGCCCGCCCGCAGCGCTCAAGCGCCTGGCGCCGCACAGGCTGGGCAACCTGGTGGAGGGGGAGTTCAAGCACAGGTGGTGCAGGGCGCACTGTGGTGTGGGGCGGG